AGAAATGTTGATTCTTACATAAAATTGATTAAGATTTATCTTATACTTTACTCACACACAATTTTTATTTTTATATTTGACATTAAAGCCTTATGTCGATGTTAGAAATTGCTCCGAGATTTCAAAAAAAAGAAATGATAAACAAATCATGTTTGAACAATTCAGTCATGTAATCAATGTGATTGATTCTTTCTTCATTCAAGATCTCGGATTTCTAATATTATGGACACAAGGCTTTAAAATTGAGACATACATGAAATTAATATTATATTTGGGACTCATCAACTACTAGTCAACTACTATTCTCAAATAGAGAATTATTATATATATAACAATTCACTTACATTTTATTTTTATATAATTTAACATTATATCTTCACAAAAAGAGTATTGTGATTCAATAATCTTTAAATAATTATTGCTGTTAATATTATATATATAAATTTTAGATTTTATTTCATTATTAGATACCAAATAATTTATTCATATTAATTCATTCATCTTAATATTTTAAGAGATTACAAGATGTTATTGATTATTACAGAGCAATAATTGTTGTCCAGCAAGGCATGACACCATCTGCTAAGCAATCGCTAGTAGATATGGCACCAAAATATATACTGGAACAGTTTCTGGAATCTGAATTACTGATAAATATTACCGAACACGAATTGGTACCTGAGCACATTGTCTTAACTCCGGATGAGAAAGAGGAACTATTGACAAGATATAAGCTAAAGGAAAATCAGCTGATGCGAATACAAGCTGGCGATCCAGTGGCACGATATTTTGGTTTGAAACGTGGACAAGTTGTTAAAATAATCAGATCGTCAGAAACCGCAGGAAGATACATATCCTATAGGTTGGTTTGTTGAGGAGAGAAAAGAAAAAAGAGTAAAGAAGAACAGAATCGTGAAAATCTCTCAGATTAAAAAAAAAAGATATTTATTAAAAGGTAAAAAAAATGCAGCTCGAAATTTGACATTTATTGTAGCAGTATTTTATAATGGTGCATCGTTTTGCATCTAGCATTATAATATCTGCAATTATACATTATTATGCTATGAAATAATCTGTCGCATTGAGTATTAAACATTGTACAGTTAGCAGCAATGAATAATTACAGTTCTCATACGTGAAATACACGTCTCTAAAATGCGTTCTTACCTTTCCAATATTTTAATGCACTATTGGCAATTACATGCGTAAAATGTGTATTTCGTTTGCATGGTTCATTAGCTCACACTTATAATCAATATTAGGATATAGTTTAAGTTTTATTACAGAAACAACGATCGGTACAAAAAAGACTGTGACTTGCAACAGTCGCTCGCGATTATCTGGCTTGGATATTGTTTCGATTATTATTATTATTATTATTATTATTATTATTATTATTATTATACATTGCTTGGTCCAAAAGTATATATATGTTCTATATACGGTACATTGTGACGTAAAAGTATATCAATAGCAGAATTTCTTTTCTTTCAGTGTGTAGTGATTTAATTACTTCATCAATTAATAAGTGACAGTCGAGTGATTCATTCATTAATAACATATACACATTTTTCCAAGTCTAATTGCATTTATTCATAGAATACTTTTTTTAATGACTTTTCTTATTATGATATACTGTTTTTTCCTCTTATTCGTTTTCTTGCTTATTAATAAGATTCAATTTGCACGTGAATTGAATCAGAAGCGTAATTAGCAGTCTATTAACGCAATTAAATAATCGTATACTTCTTAATCGAAGAAATATGATATTGCAATCTGAAACATGCTTAAACTCTGATAACTTAAAGGATAACTTTTGAAAAAGCCTTCCCCGAATTCAAATTCTACTACGTAATCCCTATTAAATCTTATTCAAATCTAATATTTAATCTTAGCGTTTTGATCCTACTTATAGACGGGAGTCGAACATCGTTTATTAAAGCCAGCGGCATGACATCGATTGTAAGATGCGAATTTCCGCTTTCAGAATTTATCGCAGTCGACTGATAAAGCTAAAAGCGTACGAGCAGGAAATTTCCCAGATGGCATATTCGCTAGCGTATAATGAACAGGCAGACCAACCAATCATTCGTTCTACACTTGTTACAATAAATGAAATCACATGCTATATTAGCGGCAGCAGTCGACTAGCATAAAGACAGCTTGCTACTGGTATAGCACGTTACTTCGTGATCCAAAGGAATAATCGTTATCGTTGGGCACAAGTAAACAAAGCACACGCGGCCATAATTAATATAATATATTGTTATCAATAAAATGTAACATAACATTAATAGTCATAATAATAATAACCATAAAAGATAATAATAATAATAATTACAGAATAATGCTACGAAGTTCTGTGCTTTACGCAATAAGTAAAGAAAAAATATAGAGTCCTCAAAAAGGTTTACAAAAAAAGGAAAACAAAAATATACATATTCCTCGAACGCGATTCCCATTGCAGGCGGAGACCGCGCGAGAGATCCTTAGATCCTTGGGGATATCCATTGATACTTAGATAACTCTTAGACAAAGGATCATTGTAAACTGTTAGAATTCTATAAATGCTTGAATCTTTAGATCCTTAGGCATCTTTTAGGCATTTTTTCATCCCTAGACGTTCATAAAAGCATGAATTCTTCAATCCCCGGATAACATCATAGATCTTCGGATCTTCGGATATCGTCAAACATCTTAAATACTCAAATCGTCCTTAAATTCTAGATGTTAAATCCTCGTGCTTAGATGTTTCGATGTGATATCGATGATAATTTTCTCTTTCTTTTTCATCGATTAAATAAACGCGACGTTTATTCTTCGGTATTCAAGGATTTTGGTGTTAGGATATATTCGATTCATTTTTAGTCGTGTTTACTTAGAAGACTTTTCGGCGTGACCACCAGTATACTTTAGTGGCCCATTCGATAGGTGAGGTTTGTAAAATATTGTTTATCAAATCCGCGGCAACTCGGATCCTGTAAGTGATAGAGGTGGGATAAGGCGGCCACTGTTCCCAATAACGGCCTCTGTGCGTTCGACCATGTGAGGTCTGAAAAATT